AGGATTTACTTCAAAGAAAAAGTAAATGGTGAGTTTTATTAATAACCATTTACTCAAGTCATGAGCAAAACCTCAAATTTCTATAGATTACCTTTTACTTCTAAAGCAAAAGGGTTTGCTTTAGTTTTTATTAATACAGATTGAAGGATTTGCTCGAATTTTCGCAAGTAAAAGGTTTACCTCATCTTTATTAATACGGCTCAATTAATACGCTACATGAAACTTTGTCGGTTGAACTCCTTCGCCATTTCTTAACCGATTTTATCCATTGACGTCTCATTGGAAAGAGCGTGTCGCGTAGATTTGCAAACTGGCCTTACATTTTCGAAAAAGCCCCTTGGGCTCTGCCCCAGTGGCTTTGAAAGTTCCCATGTTATCCTTATGAAGAACATAATTGTTTACATTTTGATGAGCTGTATAATTTAATTGCTGTTATTTATTTTCCAATTCAACGAAACGCATAGGTTACATTTACTGATTTGGTTGAAATTAAATATTTGCTACTTTAATTTACATTCGTACTTTATTCCGATGTAAAAATCTAGAAAGCCTGGGCAATTTGATATATTTTACCAAAAAAGAAAAATGAATTGACAGGGAACTGTATTTCTTGAGCAATAATTGAAAGAACCGATTTTTTACCATGGAAACATAGGTGTCATAGAACACCACCAAGTAGAAAAAATAGAGATTTAAAAAAAACTATTTACTATCGTTATCATCCTAAATAATGAAGAGCACTTACAATATGAAGATTCCCACAAACAATGAACAGGGATGTTAGCCAAAGTGTTACTATTTTGTAGTAAACACTGACTTAACTTTATGATGATTGGCAAAGGAAAACACTCTAGGGCTGAATTAAACTGGTACGGCAAGGACATTAAATATAGGTTTTCATAAAAGTCAAGTGATTTTAAAATAATATGACTACATCCAAGAAACCTTAATAAAAACTTTCACTGAAGGATTTGCATTATTCACATTTAAGGGAAACAAAAAACCATCTGGACGACATTTGGCCTTTCAATTCTGCATTTTTTTCAGGTAAATATAACTTACGTTATAACAGTAACTAGGTAGCCAAATTAATACCAATTGAAGCAAATAAAATTATGACAGAGAGGTTATGCAGAAAATCAGGCAGTTCTTAAGTAATGTAAACAAAATGTCATCGCTATAAAAAATTACTGAAATTTGTAAACATACTAGCGACAACGGGTAGTACTATTATCATTGACGAAGATCAACCTGGACCACCTAATGCGGCTATAAGTGGGAAAGATATATAGAATACACTAAAAAACCAGATCAGCTTTTGAAAAATGATCAAATACGTGTAATAAGCATTTACTAGAAATGTTGATTATATGTAACTGTTAGTCACGTAATCTATGAGCTGAGTCTTTTAAACTCATCGGAAATTATGACTTTTATTCGTTTTTAAATAAGTTAATTATTTGTTTTTAAATACTGTAACTACTTTACTTCTTTGCAATTGCTCGATTTCGAGCAACATGTACACTAGTCAAGATTATTTCTTCTAGCTGTCACTGATATGTTAACATTGAATGTTGTTTACAAATACCGTAACCAATTCCGATCACGTTTTGAAAGCAAATGGAAACCAAGTAAGATTAAAAATGTTTTTCCTTACATAACGGATTTAATTAATCGCAAGTGCAATAATTTGTAGGGTAACCGTAAATGAAAATAGAGTTTCTTTGTGTATAAAATTGTTCTTGAGTTTTGATAACCGGGGAAAAGACCTTGAATCAGTGTTGTATATGGCTGGGAAACTTACATTTTTTTAAATGAGCGTTTTCAGTCGAGACTCGGCACACGACCGACGCGCGTCTACGTGTCCATAGTAAAAATAAAAGTAGGCCTACCGTGTATTTATGTTTTATTCGTCAAATGTACAGTTCGTGTATGTGTTTCAAAACTCCAAGACGCACCTAATGGGGAAGCTCAAGACCTTATATTAGGACTGATGATGGCGATTTAATTTCGCCGAAATGCATCTCCTGTAATAGGATACATTAGGATCGACCGGCGGACATAGGTAATTTAACCTTTTATTGATTGTCATACCGATCCGGAACAACAACAAACAACATAAAATTAAGTTATGTATAATAGTTTGGCAAACATATCTGAAAATATGCAAACCAACTGCTGTTCTTTATACTGTATATAAGAAGGTTTCAACTGAATACTATAAGATCCCCTTGCGTAGAACGGGTACACAGCTAGTACATAATAAACATAAAAAAAATCAAAACCAATTGCTACAGATCAGGACCGTTTTTGTGACACATCAATAATCAAAATTGGTTTTAAAATTAGTGAGGAGTTGAGTTTACAAAAATCTGCTTAGATTCTGTGTAGATGTTCACAACACGTGTTTCATAAATAACAATTTATATAACCAGCTGTTCCTTTAATCAATAGTAAGTGTTTTTTTCAAAAGAATGCATCTACATCTTTTCTCCATTAGGAAAACATGGGATCTTGAAATACTACTGGGGCAGAGCCCTGATGAAGTTTCTTGAAAAAGCTTCTCATTACTCATCTAGAGCTTAAGTGGAACTTCCATTCTCCATTCTAATTCCTGAGTTTTCATAATTCCTGAATTTTATGGGTTTGTAGTTTTTTTTTAGATTTTATAGAGATCACTGAGTCAGTGAGTGGGTGGTACTGGTACTTGCTTTTTTAAGTATAGGGGTCGGGGACCCTTTGCGAATTTTATTTGGGTTCAAAACTTAATTCCAAAGTAAAAATAATAAAGTAATACCCTTTTACTTTTCTAAGATCTTCACCCTACAGACTTAAGAGTGATTTACCTAGGTACTTCAATCAGGCTGGAGATAAAAAATACCCCCGCCGCAGCAAACCTGCAGACTAAGCGAATTTCCATTTGACTGATTTGATTTATACTGAAATGTCTACTTAAAAATATAACATTTATTCCCGATTTAAATAGAATTAGTTTACAAATGCTTAGGTTTGCTGCATCAGGGAGGGTAAAACTGTTTTTTTTTGTAAAATGTTAATAGTTAGTAAGAAATAAAAACGTTTTCCAAATTTGATCAAAATATGTTCTTAAGCAAGCAAACTACAACAGTTTAATTATTCTCCATAAGAATAACATGGGAATTTTAAATTTAAAATTTTTTTTAATGTTCTCCGTAATTATTAGGCGCATAATAACGCTTCAATATACTAAATTATTTGTTTTTTTAAGCTCTACAAAATGGTTTGGAAAGAAATTGCTAAATTTTATGTTTTTTGGGTCAAAAATGGGAAAAACCTATTTTTACCCCATAAAACCCCCCGTAAACCCCCGTTCCCATGGTCCGATCATGCTGGATCGCGAACTCGTTCGAATAAACGTAGGTTTACACGTTTGTACCAAATTTCATCAAAATTGGATCATTTTTGCTCGAGTTATCGTGCTAACGGACACATATATATATATTAGATATATAAATATATATATAAATAAATAAATATATATATATATATATATGAATTTGAACGGATGGTGTTTTTGGCCTCTAGGGACCTCAAAACGAAAAAAAAATCGGTCCCGCGTCCAGGTCTTACCATGAGTACTACGGCAAAAGCTTATTCCCTATATGGGAAATTCGCTAAAAACTGCCTAAATCAATTTTCATAAACTGTTTCGTCTGCCTTTAGTTTACAATCTGGCAGTGGTTAAACATTCAACTGAAGGGTCAGCTGTTAGATTACTATTCTTATTTAAACCGTTAGGAATTAACTCTAGAAAGAATTAAATCGCAAGAGAATTTAATGTTTCGTTACTATTTGCAGGTGCACTAGATCATAAGCTTAAAAATGGCACATTAATCCTAAAATTGGTTAAGTAAAATGGCTGGAAAAGGTATGTTACAGATAAAACTGTATTAAGTATATAAATAGATAGATAATTTCTTGCCTGATAGATAGATAATTTCTTGCCTGAGAACAAGAAAGGTTCCAGATTTGATAAGTAAGGATAAGATCGTGAGAAAATGCCGTGAGTAATACCCGCACTTCACAAAAAATGAAGCGTAAACATACTATTTGAAGTATTTATTAAGTTAGGTTGACATTTGCCGAATTGTCTCTAAAATTTCTAATTGATAACAAATACGTAAAAATACCTTAACAATCATTGGTATTTGTCGATTCAACATCTTTATGTTTTGTCATTACTACTTTAAATATTCTTTGAACTTATTATTTAAGTTTCACATCATTCTGCCCGGTTCTATTGTAGCTTTCCCAATCCGACCAAAGCATCGAAAATGCTAGTTTACCGCACTAAAGTGGTAATGAATTTGCTACCTTAATACACCTCAAACTTAAACTTAGTTTTTTCAACACGGTATGATTGCTTACGTTATTGGACAAATCTATGATTATTTGAATTTGTCCATTGCGGAATAAATTATGACAAACAAATGAAATGTTGGAATAAACCAGTGAAAACAAAGTCCCAAGTGTGGTAGGCGTACTCTGAAATTGTCTCATATATATTCCTAATATAAATGACATAATGATGCAAATTTACTCCAACTATACAATTTTTGCAGTGTCATTGATACGAATGACTAGACACATTTATTATTTGAAATTTAAATTTGAACTCTTTACCAACGAACTCATATTGAAAGTGAAAGTGCACAAAATACAGTGATGAATGCATTCATGCAAATCTTATAGTACAACAAGTACTTCGCTTTGTAAAGTGATTCAGTTATGTATTTTGAAGACCTTTGCTTTCATCAGTAACTGTGAACCCCTTGAATATGGTAGTGCATTAATCAATTCACAATCCACGCATTAGTACTGAATATAAAATGAGTTATAATGTTCCTCATTGTTCATGAAACGTATATTCTTAAAATCAGGTTTTGATTGTATAGCTCAGAAACCGCAAGTTTGGTTCTAGTAACAATACTGTATTGAGGTGTCGTCACTAAAACAACAAGTTATAAAAATCGGCACTCTTTATTTGATATCTGTAAAAATAACATACAAGGCACTTGTACGCGTCAAATACATACATAGAATCACTTAACTTAATCATACATAACAGTTCAGTCACAGTCTCTACGCTATAAGATTCTATATATAATATAGAACAGTAATCTAACATTTATACATCAACGGATCTAAGTGTGAGGAATAGAAGGACGATCAAATCAAGAGTGCAACCTTTGAACACAGACTCCCTTCCCCGCTAGAAGAGTGAACTGTCTCTAGGTGGGTCATAAATAATCTTTTAGCAAGAAAGGGATTCGCACTCGCTCACTGCACGCGGAAATCACAGATACCCAGAAGGGCTAAGTCTAGTCTAGTGCGCTTAACTCCTCGCGGCGTCTGTGGAGTGATCGCTGTCGACTTCTTTCGCTGGCTTTGGTTCTTCGGGCTTAACTTCTTCTGGTTTGACTTCCTCTAGTTTCTCATCTTTCATCTCTGCAGCTGGTTTCTTTTCCTCTGTTGGTGGGTGGACCTTTTCTACTTTCTTTCCGTCAATCTGCTTTTCATCAACTTTGGATTTTTTTGGTGTATCTTCCTTTTTTATCACCTCGGTGGGCTTCTTCTCATCAACCTTCTCTTTTGATTCTCTCTTACGCCTCTCCTTCTTCTCCGCGGACTTCTCTTCCTTCTTTTCCTCCTTTTTGTCCTCTTCCTTACTTTCATCCTCCTTTGATTCGTCCTCCTTCTTTACATCCTTCTTCCCATCCTTCTTAACGTCCTTTTCCTCGTCACTCTCTTCAGATGACTTTTCTTCGACCTTTTTCTTTTCTTCCTTCTTCTCCTCCTTCTCTTCCTCGGGCTTCTCACTCTTCACTTCCTCCTTTTTCTCTTCCTCTTTCTTTTCTGGCTTCGCTTCTTCTTCTGGTTTCTTAGCCTCTTCAGCCTTTACTGGCTCGGATTCCTTAGGCTTCTCTTCTTCTTTCTTTTCTTCTTTTACCTCTTCTTTCTTTGCCTCTGGAGCTTCCTTTGCTACGGTGGCAGCAGCAGGCTCTTCAGCAATAGCTGCCACAGAGGACTTAGCGTCTTGGACTGAAGCTTCGTCTTCCTTTGGTGACTCTACAACCTTTTCAGCCTCTTTAGGGGCGTCCGCTTTGGTTTCGGATACTGTGCTTTCAGCGGTACCGACTGATTCCTTCACTTCTGCAGCAGGTTTAGCTTCTTCGGCAGGCTTAGCTTCCTCGGCGGGTTTTGGTTCCTCGGGCTTAGCGGCGGCTTCCTTGACCTCTTCAGGTTTTACTTCAGCAACTGCTTCCTTAACATCCTCTTTCTTGGTGGCCACAGCGGGTGCATCTTCTTTCTTTGCTGCTGAGGCTTCTACGGGGACAGGTACTGGGAGTGTTTCGGGAGCGTCATTTGCGGGCTTAGCTTCCTCTTTCTTTTCGTCCGCAGGCTTGGGCTCTTCAGGTTTCTTCTCCTCAGCAGGCTTATCTTGTGGCTTAGGTTCCTCCTTAACTGCTTCTTTCTTCTCCTCGGCAGCTGGGGCTGCGGCGGCCTCAGCGGGTTTCTCAATTGGCTTCTCTACTGGTGGGGCTGGAGCTGGAGCTTCGGCAGGCTTTTCTTCAGGCTTAGCTTCGGGTTTGGCTTCCGGCTTGGCTTCGGCCACAGCGGATCCCTTAGAGTCGTCACTCTTAGCTACACTGGAATACTCGGTGATGACTAGAGGCAGGACGTTCTTGGGCTTGTCAGCCTCAGGTTCTCCGACCGGGTAACTCAGGGCGACCGCCGCCAGGGCGAATAACACAAGCGTGGTCTTCATTCTGAAAAAAAAACATTAAGTATTAGAGCTATTAGTTTATGACCTTTGTTCCTTTTATGTCAAGGGATTCAGAGGATTAATTAAATCATCATAATAATAAAATGATTACACACGTGGAATGCCTATCGATATCCCTTAGTGGTACATATAAATATTACAAATAATTGAGAGTTGTTATGATTTCTAGAGAGATGGGCCAACAGTCTACTAAAGTAGTTTCTAAACCATAGGATTGCAGCATTATCAGATTGATTAAAGCCAAAGATGATCGGCAGCAGAGCATTTGAACCATGCCTGCAGGACGGAAGTCTCTAACCATTGAACCAGCCCCACGAGCATCCTCTTTGTACCATTAGAAAATCAAAAAGTAATCTTACGCTTGTAAAACTATATAGAAATAATTTGTCTTGTTCAATCACAATCCGTTGTTAAGTTAAACTTTTGAATTGGCAAAAGTTCGTATCGATAGTAGGATAGTAGCATATAAAATGCGAGATAGCTTTAAAACGAAATAGTTTCAGACATAATAAATACAAATACTTTTTTTAATAACGTAACGGACTGGATACATCTTGGGTACCACCCACCTGTTATTGGCGGATTGTTGATTATGTCGTACACGTAATACAGGGATGGCATTTATTACTACAAGAACGGTATAAGAGACGATAGGTTCCAGATGAGTAATAAAAGTGGGAGTTTCATTGCCATAAAAATCACGGAATGAGAAACTGCAAACGATCCTGTTGCCGCAGCGGAGCGGGTGTAATAACATAATTGACCGGCCCCGCATGTATCATGGTGCATTGACCGGGGCAGAGGCAAAGAGGCCGCCCGCCGCCCGGCAGACAAAAAGAGGATGGCGAAGTTATAGGCCATCACGTCCGAGCGGGGATATTAGATCCATCGTAAAATTAATAACCGATCCCAAACTGTGCCCCTGACTGGCCGAGGGCTCATCTTTGTGTTGGTGTGGTTGCGGCTACAGACGTTGGGGAAACCGATATGTTGCACTTTGTCTATCTCTGTCACTGAAAACTCAACAATCAATCGTTTACTTCAAAGTGTCAATTTGATTTAGTTTGTTCTCATCGGAAGGAAATAATTAATAGTGATTAAATATTTACTTTTATATACAGGGTGTTAAAAAAAGGTTCAATTAATAGGATTCCTTGGGTCTAAATAAAGAGAAAATCAAGAATATTTTTTTTCCAAAATCGCTTCGTTAACCAGATACTGTTTCTGCCTTATGTATTTTTTACATAAACATTTTAATATTCGAAGTTTTTCAACCGATCTTTATGCAACTTGGTATGTATTTTAAGGAAGAAGAGACTGCTGTTAAAGAAAAGTCATCTTGATTCAACTTAAAATTTGAAAATGGCTGATTTTATGAAAAAATGTCAAGAACACTTTTAATTCCCTATCAAACGGTACCAAGTTCAAAAATATCGAATGAGAACTAGCTTCATTACGATTTTTAGTTGTAAAATGGGGCAAACCTGGCTACCTTCTGCCTTATTTTACCTCATTTTGAAATTTTAAGTTGAATGAAGATGACTTTTTTCTATCTGCCTTAAAATACATACAAAGTTTCATAAAGATTGGTTGAAAAACATCGAAAATTAAAATGTTTATGTAAAAAATACAAAATGGCGAATATCTGGTTAGCGAAGCGATTTTGGAAAAAATGTTATTCTAGACTTTCCCTTTAGCAAAGCATTCAGTATACACTGTTCAATTTTGTCGAAATCCAACCAAGACTCGCAGTAAAGTAATAGTGTTCGTTGTGATAACACTCGACTCATTACAGTCCAGTATCTTTGTCTATTACAGTATTTAATTTAGAATGGAGTTTGTTATTTCCGTAGCTGACACCAGAAATGCGTAGTAAAATAACGTTGACAATAAATTCGAGGTAACTGCTATTCCATATAACTACTAGGAATGTGCAAGATACACTACTACCTGTATCGCGAGAACGTGTGCTGAACAATACAAGAGAACTGTTTTACAAATGATTATTACGTAAGAAATATTTTATTATTATTATCCCGATCACTTCAACAATGAAACAAATATCTATTGAATGTGTTAAACATCAATTATAGAAATTTTTATTCTATAAAATAAAAATAAGTCAAGCAATGGTTTCAATACTCTCTAAAAGATCATTTTATCAAGTTTCAATAAAAGCGCAATACATTAAAAACATGAACGTAAAAAATGACTTGCAATGAAATAGTTTAGTGTATTATGAATAAGATATGAGTATGTTACCCATAGTACTAAGTAATTTAGGACTAATTGCACTAATTTTTAAATCTAAATGTGATTTCCATCGGAAAGGTCAACTAAAGCAAAACACTTGGTTTGTATTGTATGGCGCCTCAGCCTCGCTTACCTTAGTTTGACCTTGGCGAGGTAACTACGTATGGACAATTGCCTGTCGGTTGAAATATCTTCAAGGATTTTCTCTCATCCTTTCATATTTAAACCAAGTTCCATTGTTTTTCTAATCTACCTGGACCTTGGCGTTTTACATACGGTATTTCCGTCGTTTCTATGTTTTTACTTGAGGCAATTCGTTAAAGTTGATACAAAAGTAAGAAACTATATCATATTATCTGGAGTGTGTACAACAGGCTTCTGTTAGAAAAAGTTGCTTTTGAGATACCTAATCAAACATTAAGAAATAACTAGTAATTAATCACCGGAAACTTTTAATCAAGGAAAACAGTGTCTTCCCGATAAAGGGAGTTCCGTGTAGTAGGTTTAGCAAAAAGTATCGTTTTTAGCCTATCTAATTCCATCATCCGGCATATACATTAATATTAACAAGTAATAGTGGTTAACTTGCCCCATCTACGTTTAGTCTATTACGGTTAAACAATTCGCCCTTAAGTATTAAAATCTGACAGGAGTTAAAATAGAATAAAAGTAGGTATTTATTTTAAGCTCCCATTTTTGTATGTTCTTTTTATATTATTGTTATATTATCTGTGCCTAATGAAAAGCCTCGCCTTCCTAAACATAAACCGAAGTGAATAAATATTTTGCTTCTAAAGTTAAATTAAAATTTGTATTCCAAATTATTAATAAGGCGAGGCAAGTTGGTTATTTAGATAGCACTCTTGGAAGGAACAGCAACCTCAAGTAGCTGAAGATTCAGGAGCCTCTCACAAGTTTAATTGGTACTTGAATTAATTGTGTTCTCTATTTTTTGTGACGAGAAAGCTTTTTATTAGACCGATAGAGATACGCATTGATAATAGTACGAAATAGTTAAACTTCCGATTATCAAACGCATAACATATTTAAATTGCTAATACAACTTTTTTACGTAGGAATTAGCTGTATTCTTCAGCTTATGCATAGTTCCAATTTTACTCAAACTATTTCAAATACTTATAGCTAGTACTAATTGTTAATAGAATTCATCATCCGAACATGAGTAGTTGCAAATGAAAAAAACATTGAACGTCTAGAAAAGTCAAGAAAGTGCCGTACAGAATATTTAATAACTTGTTTGGCAGAGATATCTATGAAAATATTTAGTGTCCTACATGAAACCTTTGGAAACGAAACGATTAATTTTGTCCATTCAACGATCGATATTTGTCATTATTGTGTGTATGTGTATTTTACTTGTAAACTTTGAGTGAGCATAGGGCCAACTAAGCAGAAATAATGTATTGATGTTTGTTTAGATTAATTTTCAGTTCAAAGGATGGTTATTTTCACGTTCTTAAATTACAGGTATTCCTACTGTACACTATTACAAGTTAAATTCATCGTAATTCAAAAAAGTTGTGCAGCCTCTGGATTACTATGTGTGCAATTGACTATTTCATACTGAGTGAATGTCTATATGGATACTCCAATATTTTACTAAAAATAACTTAGTTTTGTGAGCTAGTCACAGAATGTGATGGTGTCTAAAGTCTTATTTTCCACTTAATGTTTTGTTATTGATAGAGTTATTTGGTAATAAAAGTTGCTACAGCTCACAATAAGTAATTTCATTAGTTTGACTTGGTAAAAAAATGTGTATGTATTCTACATGATTTAGTAATTGAGATCAATACAATCTGTCGGTTGTTCCCATCAAATAAGACCATTTTAATTCAAAACTGGCGAGAGTTTGATCATGAGGATGGAATATCTAGTTTAGTTGCATCAATATTCAAAGGTTATTGATAAAATTATTTAAATTCATGCCTTAAGTCAACAAGAACCATCGTCAATACATGTTATTAGATACAAACAAAGGATTAGGATTACTTAATGCAAATATTTAGAATATTTTATGTATTTTAAATTATGTTTAGATTATGATTACAACCAAGAATGAAGTTTGTACAGTTTAATACCAGTTTTAAACTATATTGATGGACGAAATTTGATTGAACCTTTCCTTATGAATTTTGAATACTGTACTGTACTGTTTGTATTGCGCTATTTTCAATCAATTACACACTGACATAACCGACAGAAAAGGGATATAGCCATAGGAATTTCTATTTACAGTATTCGTTTATACTTTAACATTAGGCGAGGTTGGCGAATGACGAGTGTGAGTGGTCAGTGTTCTGTTTGTGGTGAGGTGGTCAGGTGTCGACCTCCGCGATGTAATGCCTGTAATCACTGTGGCTAGACATTAGACATTACTTCTGTCGGTGTCTGCTGCTGATTACACGAGACAGTGACTCATGTAGAATTGTACGTGCCTTGGCTGCGACTCGCGACCTCAGATATCGCGGACTCTTCAAACAAGCGCAGTCATTGCTTGATTAAATATCAAATATGTTTTGCCTTACAAAGCTTCTCTCGTTTTAAAACAATTCTTAGAGGGACACTTCCTCACATAGTTTAGATGTTTCACGTACGAGAAATCCTCATATTACTTATGTTGAATGCCACCGTAATTACGTCCATGGCAGTGGAAACCCATTGTTTTAAGGAATGAATTCGATCCCTGAAATATAAAATTTCATAGTTTTGGATCGCTTCACTTAAAAACCGGAAAGCGAAAAATAAAAAAAAAAGTTCGTTAATTCGTTAATATTAATTTTGTATGGCACCGATATCGTATGTTGAACATTTTTGAAGAGATGTAAAAAACTCTTATTATGTGTGTACTTGTAATGCTTGCTTTTTAAATGTTTATAACTAATATATTAATATACATTCTTTAAATACATGGAAAATAATCGGATACATCAATTAGGTGTAACAAAGTACTCTGTCGGTTTACTTCGACATAGAATGAATTTGGGCACAGCAGCTTTAATTCGTTGACTCGAATGGTAAATAGTAAATACAAATCGATTGTAATTTTGTACAAGATTCGTGGGATTATAAGAATTCGCCAGTTTCTCAATTTTTTTTATAAGTTGTAATGTAGAAATGCAAATTAAATGTATTATCCTCTAGTACACGTACCACAACTAAAATCACTGTTCAGCAGTTATTGATATAAAATTTTACAATTTTGTAAAACATTGTAACATTTGCACAGGTACAAAATACCCCTATATACTACAACACAGATTTGTTAAATTCAAAAACTAAAATTGGTCGATGATATTGTAATAGTGAGTGTAAATAAAATAATTATTGGGCCAGATTTGTATTTAAGTATTCTTGAATCGGATATAATATCCCAAATTCAGTTTTGAGGCACTTATAAGTTTCACATCCGCATTGAGCCTAACTAAATTGCATTAACTACTTTGTCAATGAATATTCGTTCACTTATTGTTGTTTGGTACCTAATTGACACAATACTGCAGATTCTAAAGTGAGTGCAAGGATATTTATATTTCCAAATAAACCTCACGCCAATATTCTGGTGAACGACTCATCATTAAAGAGACATCATCATTGCTGACATTTAATTAGCTGTTTTATTATTTACTAAACTGCTCTCCGGTTTGGATGATTTCTTGAACGGAAACATTTCAAACTACTTCTGTTATCTCTTGTCGCAACACAGTTCGGTAGTGGTTGGTGATACGAGTCACAGATCTGCTGCTTATCAGTAGCAGAGCCTGTCTTATCAGCCCTACAGGAGGTACATACCTGACATCAGCGTCACTGTACCTCCGGACAAGTGAAGGCACGTTAGGCACGTGCTGTTAGTCAGTGACAATACAGTACTGTCTTCGTAGGGACCAATCTGTTTCACGTGGCTTTGTTTGTTTGATTATTTCATGGCTTCTTAAAGAGGCCAAAGGAACTATTTTCACACGACAATTCGCTAAGCAATAATTAGTAATGACATTTTAGAAATACTATTTGATTATACACTGGATATAGAAACCTAAAACAATTTGAGAAACCCGACTCAGAAGAATCCATATATTATGTTTCAAATGTGTAATATATTCATTAAAATATCAATAAATTTTACACTAACTTTAATGATTTCAAATTGGCTAAGAGTTGTTTCAGAAATATAACACGGTAGATTGTTTTCTTTAGTCTTAGTCTGCTACCTGAATACCACTTTAGTTTCAATGTTACCAGATTTTCCTCACCTGGCCTTGCGTGACTAAATGTAGTGATAAAGACAAAAGGCTGCCAGTCCTGTGGATATTTGATACCCTCTCTATCAAATTGAGTTTCGATCGTTCCCACCCCCGCCCCTACAAGAGTGGAAATAACCGCTTTATTCACCCTTTGGCCTTGGCCTCTTGGCCATCCTCTAATTTCAACGATTTTGCCAAACAAATTTCAGATAAAGCATTTGCCGTTGAAAAGCACAGTGCAGCTTTTATCTTGTTACTGCTCTCACTCACTAAGTTTAAAAAAAATGGGTTTGGCTATGACTGTTGATATTTCCAGTATATTAAATGGTTACGCACAGTAAGGATAGTCATTATTCCAAAAAACTATTTTAACACATAGGCCTACAGTATTATTTAGGAATGACATATTTTGCTATAAACTGAAAAAGGTGTTGCCAATAATATTCGCAAATTAGTAATGAGATGTAAGTTATTGTTATGATGTACATTTGAAAGAAAATCCTTTTTTATATAAAATGGTGGAAATGGTTCTATAAATAATATATTCCTACATGATTTACCCACGTAGTGCAAATGATATCATAAGTTATCAACGGTATATATAATGAAAGAATCTTTAAAAGTATGACCTTTTCGTTATTTATTGTAGGCCATTTGCTTAAGAATTTATTTTAATACAGTACGACGTTTTCGTCTTCTGTGTTCGAATAATTATTTTACGCTGATTATGAGACAAAAAACGATTTTATCTTTGAAAGAGTTTTTACATTATGTAATATCCATTATGTTCCTCCGAGTAAAGATGACTAATATCAAGTTTAACTGACACTTAACTACTGTATCGCTTGTTCGCTAAATTAAGATCTACTAATTTTAAATGGCAAATGATGCGTAGTAATAACAAATTAATTGAGGTGTTTATTTAACTAATTTTCAAATTATATAATTAGTTGATCAAATAACTTTTCGTCTTTAGGCTGTTTTGCATCCCTCATTTAGCACTACCCATTTTGTTCTCTTCATATCAATTTTCTGAAAATGTCAAATGTTAGGTATAGAGTAAAAAGGTTGGATTATAAATAATATTCCAATTTGTTTTACCAAAATATATTACATTAATTGTATATTTATATTTTAATTAATATTCTTTTGTCCTATCATATTAATTATGTCTACAGAAGTTAGTTTGTAGAAATTTGTTTCTACTTTTATTTTGGGAGTTAAATTTGGTATAACATTTTTTCTGAAAGAGCAAGATGTGTTAGTATTTACGTGAACTAAGCTCTCTGTATCTAATATTAACATTACTGAAATTGCCCTGTAATTGGGGGTTTTACAGATAATATTACTCGCAGTGCAACCTTACACCATTTTGCCGGAATAGAAATTTTTAAGTTAAGTTATTTCAGTTAATCATGGACTTCTTTTATAAATAAACAATGCAGCTAGGCTTAACTTACACTGAAAGTTCCCTTATGTTAGTTGACAGTAGAGCTAATACTTCTAAAGAAGTGTTTATATATAAAAAAAAACCAATTATTTTAAGAATTATGCTAAAATGAATTTGTAAAGGTATTTTACAAATAAACGTTTAAGGTTCTCTACGAAAATAGGCAATGAAGGTTGTTGTTTACACTAGGGCCTACGGTTAAAAACTCGATGACCAAAGTTTCCAAACGTCGATATTTTCAAACAGAACTTTTACATACTAGTGTCCCGAATAGGTACTCACGTTAATATTGAAATATTTTTGTTTTACAGTCGATTTTTAGTTTGGTAAACGCAAAACTAGTGGTTTAGTTAACGCTTCCCCTTTCATACTAAACACTCCCTCGCAATAAAACCTTATTAAATATCTCTATATAGGTATTTAAGTTGCATATTATGTTAGTCTTAGGCTACAGAAAGGATGTGTTACACAAGTACCTAGTATCAGCAGTTCGGTTCAGATGATCACAACCACGGAGGACACAAAGCGACTGGCGCGCACCGTGGTTCTGTGGTTATATATGTAGCCGACACCCCCCCCTCCCACCCTCCAACCCGCACCTCACCACTGGTGAGAGGGGGAGTAACCATCCCCAGGCGTAGGGATGATCCGGCGAAAGAGAAATTGATCTTTTTTGGAATGCACAAGAGGCGGAATGTAATATAATTGTGTAGTCCTTTGTATGAATACATATTGTATTCGTAAGTTGGCGCTTGCAGGGAAATTACTTAAATTTTTCTGTTGTTTTAATAAATGTAACTATAAACTGCATTTTTTCCTCGTCGTGTGATTTTGCAATAACGCCCGTTTGGATACTGTTGGTATTTTGAATTAATCGTATAACAATAACACTGTTTCTTTAATTCAAACATTGATGATACTGTAGTAGGATTTTTTGACGATCATATAATGTTTGTCAGTTCATTTATAATAGCTATATACTTTTGTCGTTTGTAAAATCTTATAATCAAGAATTGTATTGCTTGAACATAGCAAAGGTATAAAACAGTTTAAAACATTGTCTTTTACTTCTATCTTGACGAGAGTGTTATTTTTAGAATAATAAGACATCGGGTTGATTAACATAATTTCAAAATAATTATATATATAGTTTATCCTTACTGGACAGAACACATTTCGAAATCACATTGTATTACAATCAAAAATGAAATAGTGTATTTACCGATCAATTGTTTATTTTGTTTTTTATTATTCAGCGAGTCAGTCGGAAAGGCTCGTGTATCATTTTATTTCGCTGCTGTACTTGTCCATAACCTGTTTATTTCAAACAAACAAGTTAAAGTTTCCATAGTTCCATAGTTTTGTTTATTATTTGGTGAGTCAGTCGGAAAGGCTCGTGTATCATTTTATTTCGCTGCTGTACTTGTCCATAACCTGTTTATTTCAAACAAACAAGTTAAAGTTTCCATAGTTCCATAGTTTTGTTTATTATTTGGTGAGTCATTCGGAAAGGCTCGTGTATCATTTTATTTCGCTGCTGTACTTGTCCATATTTGGCGAGTCATTCGGAAAGGCTCGTGTATGATTTTATTTTGCTGCTATAGGTTAATTGTCCATAACTTGTTTATTTAAAAAAAAAAAAACAAGTTAAAGTTTCAATAGTTCCATAGTTTTGTTTATTATTTGGCGAGTCAGTCGGAAAGGCTCGTGTTTCATTTTATTTCGCTGCTGTACTTGTCCATATTTGGCGAGTCATTCGGAAAGGCTCGTGTATGATTTTATTTTGCTGCTATAGGTTAATTGTCCATAACTTGTTTATTTAAAAAAAAAAAAACAAGTTAAAGTTTCAATAGTTCCATAGTTTTGTTTATTATTTGGCGAGTCAGTCGGAAAGGCTCGTGTATCATTTTATTTCGCTGCTGTACTTGTCCATAACCTGTTTATTTCAAACAAACAAGTTAAAGTTTCCATAGTTCCATAGTTTTGTTTATTATTTGGTGAGTCAGTCGGAAAGGCTCGTGTATCATTTTATTTCGCTGCTGTACTTGTCCATATTTGGCGAGTCATTCGGAAAGGCTCGTGTATGATTTTATTTTGCTGCTATAGGTTAATTGTCCATAACTTGTTTATTAAAAAAAAAACAAGTTAAAGTTTCAATAGTTCCATAGTTTTGTTTATTATTTGGCGAGTCAGTCGGAAAGGCTCGTGTTTCATTTTATTTCGCTGCTGTACTTGTCCATAGCTTGTTTATTTCAAACAAACAAGTTGAAGTTTCAATAGTTCCATAGTTTTGTTTATTATTTGGCGAGTCAGTCGGAAAGGCTCGTGTTTCATTTTATTTCGCTGCTGTACTTGTCCATAACTTGTTTATTTCAAACAAACAAGTTGAAGTTTCAATAGTTCCATAGTTTTGTTTATTATTTGGCGAGTCAGTCGGAAAGGCTCGTGTATGATTTTATTTCGCTGCTGTACTTGTCCATACCTTGTTTGTTTCAAACAAGTTAAAGTCTCAATCGTTCCATGGTTTTGTTTATCGTCCAGCGAGTCATCCGGAAAGGCTCGTGTAAGTTATTATTTTATTTCACGCAGATGATTGTGTTAGTTTGGATCGTAATCCTGTTTACGTGACGTCGCCTCATGATGTAGAGGAGAGTCACTTATGCTCCAATAAGATTTATACAGATTTAAAACATGACTAAGTTTAATATGTTTGTTTTCCTGAAGATTTATAATTTCTGATTTTAGAAAACTAACTTAATTCCAGAATGATACTGTCATCCAATTGAATTTGGAATTTCCACGGTACTATTTAGAGTCAATTTGGGTACAATACGAGCCAGTTCAAATTACGTTCAGACATTTTCGGAGTAAAACGTGAAAATCGCTTAGTACAGCATTTGTCACATAATTTTGTACTGAGATGTTAAACTAATGTCATTCGATAATAGTACAGTAATAAGTTTTTATTTGGATTGATTACACAGAAGATATATTAAAAACAGCGAACGACAATTTTACAATTTTGTTTGACCATCCAGACAAGTAGGCCTACTGTATGTTGAAGGTGATGTGATATCAATCTAGGATACGAGACGTAAAGTTATATTACATAGATTTAGGACTATAAATCATTCCATTACAGTACTTAATCAGGAAATACATTTCTCCCTAACGCGTTTATTTTCTTACAAACAGGTTTATGAACGTGTTTTAAATAGCTCTGTGTGAAAATAAAAGAAAGAGTAATCCTTATTCTTTTAAATCAATAAAAATAAAATTGTGAATAAACAAACCAACGTTTCTCCACCTCTTTTAATTTATTTCTATAAGCGTATGTGTACAAGTAGACACGACACGGGTAATAGTCTTGGATGGAGTTTTAAAATGCTGTTTCACGTGTTGTGTTGTGCTTTGTGTGATTGACACACATACAGTAGCTTCTGCTTCTTCACGTGAAGGCCCTCGCTGCAATCGCAGTGTTTCTAGACATTACAATGATTGTGTGGCATCTGCATCCCAGTCTATGTTGCGGTCGCTGTCTCGCTGGCCTTTGTTGATTACGTTTTAATCATCACACCATCACATGAGTTTTCTGTATTAAACTACATATTAGACATAGCGTTAATCGAAACACAGTGAGTAATGAAGAAATAATTTTAAAGCTCGCGAAGGGGTTCTAAGATGGGGTATTCTGGATTAGAAAAGTATATCTTGTGATCAGAGCTGGCAACTTGATCAGATACAGAAACGTCATTTGACTAAAGCTGAGAATAGCATTGCATTTGCCTCAGTGTATTACACATACACACACGAGTGTACATAAAACACGAGTTACCTAAAGTACATTGCAACAGTTACACTGTCGGCAGAAAGTTTATATTTCTATAATTATGTTTACAGGCAGCAAGTTACTCATGTGTCAGGATATCTTTATTTAATCTTATCTGATGCCATCGCATCCTTGGGATAAAACTAAACTAAAAAAAATAATTTTAAAACTAAGTAGATTTCTTATAATCTGTTTTCTGATAGTTAGTAATAGTTAGTAAACAGAAGTAATTGTTTATCGTCTAAAAATAACTTTATTTGATCTATATTCCCGAAATAACCTTTTTAAAATATAACAAACTAGTCTGATAATAGAATTTGAGGTATAATTATAACAGCTATTTTGCTACGGACCGTTAAGTTAAAATTTGTGTACCAACCGAAAACTAGCGTAGCATTTTTGCTCCCCCCATAAATGCGATGCTGCTCGTCATTTCATATAGTGTAACTACGGTTGATTACATATTGGTTTGTGTGGTTGGCCGTTGTGGTCGAGCTTCTGCGGCTATAAAATGCATTTTATGGTTTCAGGTTGGTTCTATATTGCGATAATTGTGGTGCAATTTCTTGCGTTGAATCTGTCGTGTTAAGAGCGCCTCATTTAGTTGTAATGTCTAAAGCAATCTCCTGAAAAGGTTCTCAACGCCGACTGTTTGATAAAATATTGATAGAATTTTGGCTGATGTATACCTGATCATCATTGCTAATCACAGTTATATTCAAAGTTTGCAAAATGGTATTTTTAACCATTTATATAACAATTACATACAGTGTGAATACTGAATAAGCAAAAAGGATATAGAATTAGTGACCACAGAATTCAAAGATTAAAATTTCAGTAAAATTTCCAGCTAAACATGATTAAATTCTTTAAATTAAAAATTAAATTAAAATGTTAATTCTGTGGTCACTGAAAAGAATTTTCAAATATTACTCAAATAAATGTATCGATCTTGTACGTTTAAATGTGAGAATATGAAACTATAGAAGTTACATCCTATCCTACTAATATTATAAATGAGAAAGTTTGGATGTATGGATGTATGGATGTATGGATGTATGTTTGTGACAAGTGAGCGCGAAAAATACTGGTCGGATTGGGCTGAAATTTGGCATGATGATAGCTCACATTCCCGATTAACATATAGGCATATTATTATTTCAAAAATCCTTTCGGGCTCCGCCCCAGTGGCTCTGGAGTTTCCCATGTTAACCTTATGAGAAATGGAATTATTGAATCTTAACAGCTGTTTCAATTAAACAAGTTGGTTCTGTTCTATGATGTTCAATAGCATTAAAGTTACAAGGATTTGCCAACAGGGTGCAGCACTATTATTTCTTTTACATTTATGACAACAGCTAATTTGCAACCAAAAGGTGAGTGAGCGTAGCGAACGAACTTCAACCTGGAGGCGAGTTAGCGTAGCGAACGAGCTAACCTGAAGGCAAGTGAGCGCAGCGAACGAGCTCCAACCTAAAGGTGAGTGAGCGTAGCGAACAAACTTCAACCAGGACGTGATTGAGCCATGCGAACGAGATAATCTTGAAAATTAAGAAGTTAAACGAGGCAAAGCCCGCGGGTTACAGCTAGTAAAAATATAAATGAGAAGATATAACGATAACGTAATATTGGGTTTATGTAGTCAATAGAATCCGCCCTCGTAACTAGTGTTATTTTTTTTTCAAAATTCATAATAAAAATGCCC